GTATAAATGAGTATTTATATTTGTGTACAAGCTGTTTAGATTGTCAAAAAGTCTGTGTTTTTAGGGTTATTAACGAAGTTCATGTACTCAGATCAGTAATATTTGGGGTCACAAGTTTTTGCCATGGATATTTTGTGGGTCAGAAGATAAAAAGTTTGGGAACCACAGCTTTAGTGTGTTCACTGGTTTGAAAATGTGCAGTTTGAGTGGACTACACTGCACCAGCAGGTGGCGCTAATGCGCACAGCAGCTCGAGTTGAGTGGCAGGTCAGAGGTCAACCGAAGAAGAAGACGAAGAAAAACAAGAAGAAGACATTTTGGGCGACGCCTGGCAGCCGCCCTCCCCGTGTTGCTGTAGGTCAGGGGTTGACAGTAGCTCGCTTTGAGCGTGCCACCTGAATGAGAAGCTGCAGAGCGGCGCATTTAAAGAAACACTAAGTAACAGAAACACCACTAACCCACAGTCATCCCGATGGACGCTGCTCAGGTAGGTGAAGCTGGCAGGGTTAGCATGTTGCTACCAGAGCCACTTAGCTGCTAGATGATAACAGCTAACGACAGATTTCAGGATTCTGGTTATTCTCTGCGGATTAAAGCTGACTGTTTCTCTAATTATCAGAGTTTGTCAGGATTTTCCCTGGACCTGGGACCATTGAAAGAACCTCTTGGGTTTATTCGTGTCTTGGAGTGGGTGAGTACAGTCAAAATGCAAAGTGTCTTAAACAGAGAGGAAAGCATTTAAATTAACCTGTTCGTTCTTCCTTTCAGTAGGTCGTCGTGATTTTGCCATTTCCTCCCAGTTGTTCCTTTTGTTCTCACACACACCAAACCTGTGTTTGCTTACAAAAACTGGGAGGAAAAAGTTTCAGGTTTTTCTTTCATTTTGAGTGTATGTTTTCTACACTCACCTTCATTTAGAGTCAGAGTTGGCCTCAGGCTGTAAATGCATTTATTTCTCAGAACAAATTGAGCCATAAAGCCGTACCCATTGTAAACTTGGTGTGCAGGCAGTACACCGTGTCTCTTACCTGTAAACTCAGTAGTAACAGTAAAATCCAGTCTACCTGACTGGTAGTTGTGTTGTTACCAGCGTGTGGCTGGTTAAAATCTGCAGCAGAAACCTGAGGTGGTGTTTGACTGAACTGAGGCTGAGGAATGCCAGCAGCTGAGAATGGCCTAACTTGGATGCTGCTACTCTACAGAATGTGCTGTAAATAGTAAGCCTGTGTGAATCTGCTCACTGCCATTCACAAACTGAACTCATGTGCTGATAGTCTAATATAATCCCTTCATTCTGACTTTTGGACTCCAGGAGTTCGTTGTCTGTTTAGTTGAGGCACCATTAGCAGGAACAGTGTGTATTTGGGCTATGTTTCATAGAGCTGCAATTAGGGAAGCAAGTTATCTATTTAATGAATTAATCTAAAGGTGATTGATCTTATTGACTAGTGATTAGTGGTTGAATCAAGTTTTCTATAACATGAAGGGCTCATTCTTTTTACATGCTGAATTTTTAAAAAGAAGTACATAATTATATTTTAATAATTTATTGTACCCACTGCTTTAAACACTGACTGAATAAATAGAAAGTTGTAAATTTCTCACCCATTATTAAACTTGGGCATATTTATAAAATATTACAAAACAGGATACTAGTTGGGGGAAAAAAAAGACTAAATCCACTTTGAACTGAGAGATGTAAAACTATCATTTAAACACAGAATATTATTTTAAGCTAAAGTTTAACTCTAAAACAAACTCTAAACATAATAAAATAACTCTGGGAGGGGTGAGATAAGATTACAAACAAGTAGCTACTGACAACTGAACACTTATCAGCCAATATGTTTGCTTTCCCTGTGGTTCTGTTCAGGCCCGGTTTGATGTCAGCTGCTATTATGACCCCCGCACGGGAAGCGTATACCAAGTGCTGCAATTCAGTTGCATTATTGATGAGTTGCTGTGAAATAATGTGCTTGACTCCATCCAACCTCTTCTTTATTTCTCTTTAACAGGTTTTTGCCATCTTTGCTTTTGCCACCACTGGAGGGTATTCTGGAACAACACACATCAATGTCTCATGTCCCCTCAAGCCCTCTCAGGATGTCCCAGCTACGTTTGGTTACCCGTTCAGGTACTACAGAGGGTTACCTTTCATTACTGTCAATGTTGCATTTCCCTGTTATTGATTTAATGGTACTATGACCAGCACAAGGTATTCTGACAKTGTTGTTATCCACTAATAGTTAAAGTGGAGCTTAACCCCTCTGTGAAAGGATAACTCCGCCCCAAGGCAAATTTGAAAGATGCCTACAACGTGGGTAGTGTTGGGAGACTCTGAGGGACATGGCCCAAGGGTCGGGGGTGGGGGGTAAAAACAAGACAACGTGACAGCTAGCTTTAGCTTAATTTGACAAGCTAACATTCATGAAAACATTTCTGAATGTTCTAAATAAATGACTTTGTAAAAGTAAAGTTTCATGATATACATGCAAACTCACATTTAGCTGATACAACATGTAATAATGTAAAGTTCAGGCAAATAACTGTTAAAATATGACTTTGGTCCAAAACAAAACAGAATATCTTTTCATTTCTGTTTGGTTCCYTGTTTCTATTAAAATTCACAAKACAGCTCAGTCTGGGCCTGATGAGTGGTCTGTCCCCCGGTTCATTCCGGACACTGCAGCCTCGGCTGCACTCCCTCCGACACACCACACCACCCCGGCAGCAGAGGAGTCCAGACATCCTGATGTGGAAAACCTCTCCACTGCAGAGGCTCTATTTTAACTGAGTGTCTGGTTCACCTGCAGCACGAGGAATCAGTCATAAAACAAACTGAGTGGTGGACGGGTTTTTCCTACAACGTGGGGTATTTTTTACAAAAAAAAGCAGCCAGGTGGGGACCGAAGTGAATCGTGGGGACCAATGTCAGGACCCCACGGGTCCAAATGCATGTTACAGGTGTGGGGTTAGGTTTAGGACCAAGGTTTAGGTTAGTTTTAGGGTCAGGTAAGTTTCTGTGAGGTTAATTTTAGAGTATATGGTCAGGGTTAGGATATAAAGTCTAAAAAACATGAATGGAAGTCAATGGAAGGTCCCCACGGGGTCAAGAAACAAACGTGTGTGTGTGTAGGCATGTTTTTCCTACATCATGGGGACAATGTGTTTGTGTGTGCGAGGGTCTGTGTGTATTTTGACCCGATCTAAACTACGTGACACAGCAACCACAGTTTAATAACTCTTGACGCACAAAGAGGATGTGTAAGTTAATTCATTTTGTTTTATGACTGATAGACTCCATGTTTTCACTGTGGCTGAGGAGAAGGCAGCTTCTACCACAGTTACGATCAACAATGCTATGGCTAACTCCTGAATCTCTGCAGGGCGTGTCTCCACAGAGAGGCTTTTATACTGAGCACAGTACTGTGACACGTCGCACAGTACAGCAGCGTCATACAGTACTCTTTGAACAAATAACAAAATTCAAACGTAGTAGCCATAGTTGAACCCAAAGGGAGCAGCACAAAGACGTTTTTAGACACAATATTGTAGATTTAAACAATTTTAGCCCAAAACGTTGAATTTTAGTCATAAATAGAAAGGTATTACCCTTAGGGCACAGTTTAGACAATTTATCTGCAAAATAAAGTTGATTTTGGGGTAAGTTCCTCTTTAACATTGCAGGCAGAAACTTTCAGAATGCTCAGTGGAAACAAGTACATATTATGTACTTTTTGTATAAACTGAATTTGTTCTGAAAGACTGAATGGAAGTTATTTATGTGCAGAGTTTGTAATTAATCTTTATAAACAAAATCAGATCTAAGAGAGATATTCAAGCTCACTTAACAAGGGAACAGTGTCCTGTTCTGTGTGTTCTTGATCTGTATTTGTTTCACTGTGTTCCACAGTTCTCAGGTGTGGAGCCTAAACACAACCTTTGATTTCTGCTTAACATACATGCTCTGCAGCACGCACTCAGAAATGACTACCTAAAACGCCATGCTTTGGTTTCCCAGGCTACATTAGGTTTAACAAAAGCTTTGTTAAACCAATGCTAAAAATGAAGGTTTTATTAAATACAAAACCTTTGTAAGGTATTTCAGAAGGGTTCAATATGATGTCTATGTTCAATGCTGTCTGCTTCATTTGAGTAGTTTGAAACTATCTCCTTGTCAGAGAAATGATTTACGGTAATTTATTAGAAAGTGCATTTGCATTCACAAATGGGTGAAAAAACATTGGTACCCATTATGAGCAGCTTGCATGAAACATTTGRTTAATTTTGTTTTTAAAATTGATGCATGTTTAAATTTTAAGTTTCATTTAAAAACAATCACTTAAAGTCTCACAGTAACTGTTTATCTCTTGTTGCATTCCTTGGATAATTGGGTGACAGAGGTGAGGAATGTTGCCTTCTAAAATCACTTTTACACCAAACGTGATCAGAGCAACTTTTTAAGGTTTCTTCTGTCATTTGTTGATCCACAGGTTGTCATCAAGACCATATCACCTTCCCATTTGTAACAGCAGTCAGACCAACATTACCTACCTGCAGGGTGACTTCTCCTCCTCGGCTGAATTCTTTGTCTGCGTTGGTGTGTTTGCSTTTCTTTATTGCACCGCCACACTGATTCTCTACCTGGGGTACCAGAGTGTCTACCGTCAGACCAGTCGTGGTCCCATCATTGTAAGTACATTCAGTACTCAGCCTTTAGCTTTCTCTGTATATACGAACCCATCTCACGACCCACTATACTGTGGTTTTCTCAAGTTAYTTTTCTCCTTTCATTCCCAGCTTATGTTAAGCACCAACACATTGTATGTGTTTATTTAGAATCAACTCTCTGTACGCAAAATGTCTCAAAACTAATGGACAGATTTTAATGAAACTTTCTGAAACTACRTCTTCATCTCATCAACTTTTCAAGTCAATACAATTTAAGATGGCTGGCACAGCTAGTCAGCCTGAGACGACACAAACATGGTTATAACTCAGTACATTTAACAGATATTCTGCTAGATTTGATGAGGTAGGAGCTGGGGGTCATCCTCAAAGCATACATGTAACGTTAACTGAGACCGCACCGCAAACCACAACGTTGTTGTTATTATTGTTTTTTTCATTGCTGACATCTGGGACCTCAGTATTTATTTTTCTTTCCTCGTGTACTCATTTTAATTC